GAATAGATCACAGTTAGCAAATAAGCTACTAGAACTTTTAGTATAGAATAATTTAATTGAAATACATTCCATACATAAAGACAACATGTGATAATTATTTGTAGTTATTCTAACTAAAGCACTGTCCTCAGAAGAAATAATATCCCTTCAGTCATATGTTCTGTGGCTTCTGTGAATGACCCATATTAATTCGATTTCTAGAAACTGCCTCTTTAAATTGATGTTGGGTAACTGCTTCCATGCTAGACTATTGAAATAAAGGTATTACATCATTGTCCAAACACGTCTACTCCAATAAAAGTATTTGTTTGCAAAAAAAGATATATATTTTAAATCTTTTACACAACGATCAGCATGCATGCCATTTTCCATTTCAGGCTAAGCATACATTTCAGATATGGAAAAAGCAAGCATGTTGAAATAATTTGAGGCATGGGTATAGTCAGATCAGTCTTGGTAATCCAGAAGGGAGGGGTGCTCAGTGTATTATTACGTTTCATATATTATTTTTCAAGAGATGGATGCAATCAGTCATTTTCTCTCATATGGTTTGAAAAAAAAATTGTCTCCCTGGCAAGTAAACTGTTATTTAAGTACACAATCCACAGTACTACAGAAACAGTTTTGCCAAACTTGTCCAAGTATTCTCACATCCTTAAAGATGGTATAAATATCATTTATGGCAAGCAGTTTACTTCAGACTATATGGAATGCCTTGCTGCTCCCCTGATCTAAGTGTCCCAGTTTGCATTATGGCCTTTATTGCTTCTGTTTGATGGAGTGATCAGTAAAAATTTAATGACACTATAAAATAATAAAAATGTCATTAATTTACCACGGATTCTGGATGCAGTGGTTGTAAAGTTACATTAATAAACAGAATATTTTTTACAACAAAAAGCATTGTTACGTGGGAACGTATAAATAACACACATAAATTTAAGAGCAATTTTACTGTTAGCACACACATTATTATGGAATAGCCAATAAGTGTATAAAACATAGTATATAAAATTTTATGAAAATATACTGTGCACATCAAAAATTCAGCTTTTATCTAAGTGCAGAGAAAAGCCATTATTGTGTGCTTACTGTTTCATTGCTGTTCTTTCACAAGATCACAATTTTATATTTGTTTCTAGTCATTTGAAGTTTGCAGTCTTTTCAGAGGCAGGGGCTAAGGCTTCCTTTTACTTTACTCCCCGCTTCACTGAATCATTCCTTTTACCTTCCACACGTGAAGAAAGAATTGATACTTTCTGGCAGAACGTGACGGAAAAGTTGCTAATTTAATGCAAAGCTAAAAATAATGCCCAAGGGGTTGCAAGGCTTGCTTGGCGACACTGGAAATAAGGGATAACTATCTAGCAGTCTATCTGTCATCACTGGGGCTGCTCCATCTCTGACTGTGATAATATGTGAATATGATGGATGCCACAGCCTTGTGGCTCATAACATTTAACATTCATCAGCTCTCACTAACGGGGGCTTTATAATTTAAATATCTTTATTTAATATGCAACATCTACCTCATACATCATAATTTCAAAGCACTTAGAGAACCAACAGTCCTGCAAGACAGTTGAGCAGACTTTAATTTTTTCAATAACTTTTACGTTTTCTGCATGTTTGTGACTGACAACGCATAAATAAGTGCCTAATCATATCACAGAATGGAAAATTAAGGTTTGGCTGCTAAGAAGGTCCTTTTTTTTCTTCTTTTTCTCATTTTGAAGAAAAGATTTTTTTTACTACGTGTTCAAAGTATAAAGAAGCACAAAGGATCTGATTTGTGTTGGGAAGTGCTTTCAGTTTCCTAATGCAAACTCCAACTGACTGTGTTGCTCTTGTCATGAGAAAGGGTTGTCTGTGTCATATCCTAAAACTTTTTTGCTGACATTTAAATGGAAAAACTTACAGTAACTCTAGAATATAAGCTCCATAGCTTGCACAAAAATAAGGAAAAAAAAAAAATCTGTTCAAAATAGGGGTCAAAAGTGCTTTTCAAAAGGGAGAAAAAACACCTACACTGTCCATAGCAATGCACTTTATAACAAACTCACCAAAATTTTCTGCTAATGGAGGTTTGGCAGGCAGCAATAGATCCAGTAGCTGATGTACACATGTGCAGATGTAATGCATGTGTAGGTAACATATTTGTTTGTGCAGCTATGTATAACCATTTATTTTTAATGAAGGGATGTCTTTTTTTTTTTTTTTTAAATCTAGGAATATGAAGTAGAGAATCAATCTTCCTCTCAGTCATATTAGGGGAAACATGTACTTTTAAAAGATTTTTAGTCTATTTTCTCTAGGATGAGTTCAAGATGGGGGCAAAGAAAAATCCCACTGAAAAGGATTTGAGCTTAGTGGGACAAGTTTCTTCTCTTATAATAAATGTTATATTAATTTCTTGTGTTTCATGGAATTGTAAAGGCATCTTCTAGATAAAAGCATTTTTAGTATTAAAGAAGATTTTCCTATTTTTTAAAGTCCTCTGAATTTGTGTAACCCCAATGAAAATATTGACCATTTTTTTCTATCACTATGATGATCATTTTCAGTAAAAAAACAAGAAAAGGAATGAATTTAAAAGGCATTTCAAAGACCTAAATATATCTATCTTTGTTAAAGCATCTCATGAATTAGAAGGGTGTTATAAAATAACTATAAATACAGCTCCTTTGTTTGACAAGAGCAGGTATTTTTATGGCATAAGTGCTTTCATTTTAGTGATTCTGAACCTTATCATACAATTTTCCCTTTTCTCCTTCCATGTCAAAATATTGATGTTCTTGCAGAAACTTTTTCTTTTTCTTTTTTCCTCTTTCTTTTTCTTTTTTTTTTTTTTTTTTTTTTTTTTCAAGAGAGAGAATATTTTCTGGTAAAATCAAAGGGAATGAATGACTAGAAAGATACTCCAAATGTGCATATTGATATGTAGCTGGATCTGTTGATTTCTATAGAAGAAAGGTATTTCTTCTTTTTCTGAAACACACTAAAATGCTCTTCTTCCAAGAATACTGCAGGTGCTGTATTAACAGCCTTTAAAAAAAGCTTTTAGTGCAAATATTTTGAAAGAGAAAATAAATGTGCCAAAAGCTGTTTTCTTAGCACTGATCTTTGTTTTTATCTCAACTGCAAATCAGCCCTTTGCAATGGAACACAGTGTCCTTGATAAAGTTATTTTTCATTCTCTCTACAAGTAAGCCAGATCCCGTCCTGATGATTCAGGTGTATTGTTACATTGTACAACATTTTTCAGCAAAATATTGTGTCTCTAGTATTGTAGTGCCTTTCTACAGTCAAATTTTATTTGTAACTCTTTCTCTTCTCTTGAGTTCCTTTGTGTATGTAAGCTCCTTCTTCAACCATGGATTTTACAGAAGAAAGCAAGTGAAGTAATTAACCAAATACAAAATGCAAAGTTACTTTGTCTGACAACTGGGAGATTCTGAGGATCTTTTTGAAATGTGTTTAGTACCTGAAATGCCTCAGCTGCATGTTGTGGCAAATCCAGTGTCAGATGGAGCTTTCTTTTCCTCTGCAAATTAAACAGAGAATAATTTAAAAAAATCCATGGCTGAAGGAACTGAAAGCATGAGGAATCAAAACATTCCTCCCTTTTCCTGATGGGGTTTCATGGCTGAAACACAACAACAATAGAAAAATAATAATATTGGAAAGCAGGAGTAGTTGGAGGTGGAGCAAATGAGGAGTCAAGGCCGCGTTTTGTCCTGAAGAACATTTCCAAGTTTCTACCATCTTTTGGGAGAGAGTCTCCCAATGTTTTCTCCTTGTGTCTAGCAGGCACAGCACAGAACTAGGTCATTGAACAATAGACTGAACAGCAGTCAGCACTCTACTTCTGCATAATGCATTAAGTATAACATGGAGAAACTGTTCGTGGAGCTGAAAGCTGGTATTTCACGTCTCTAAATTCAAGCTGACATGACATTTAATATTGTTTCATAGTAATGAACAACAAGGTCTCATTCATTCACAAGTACAACATAATGCCAAGTTTAATCTGAAGAGGTAACAACAAGGCAAGAGGGAAAACATGCTATGTTCCTTCAAATGAGAATGCTAAATTAATGATAACCATTGAACACTCTGCCACTGATACACAGCACTACAGAGACCACTATTGAGAGACAATATTACACTGCCTTTAGAGTGCCCTTGTCCAGGAGCAAGTGAGGAACTGGGTTCATGTATAAAATACCTTTCAGTTTCCACTTTCTGGTTCCAGGTTTCCTATGGAGGTCTCCAGCTCTCAAAAGCTTTCTTTTTTTTTTTTTTTCTGGGAGTGGGCATTCATTTTTCTTTTTAACTTTTTTTTCCTTTTTTGTCTTCTTAAGTTCCCTATTCACTGAGTTAAAACTTAAATTTCTAGACAAAATAATATTGGTTCTGTCCTCTATTATTCCTTATTTAAAATATTTGTCTTTGAAAATCCCTGCATAAAATTCAGACTTGTGTTTTTACAGAGGTATGAATGCAAACTTAAATCTCAGAGTGAGGAAAAAGTCCTTTTTTTCATTAAAATACCAGTGCATTTTAATACAAACTCTTCTTTCAGCTTCTGAATTTTCATGTTTCCCAAATGCCGATTGTCTTTTTCAGTTTAAGTTGGAGAATAAGTGGAAAGGCAAAGTGAGCAGCATCGATCAGCACTGTGTGCTGCCAAGAGTGTTTTGTATTTGCATGTACAATCGTTTATGCATTATGGCACTGCAGATCAAAATAATCTCAAAGTTTCTGTATATGTTTCACATTTACAACTGATTTTCATAAATGCAAACATTCAGAATCTGTAAAAAAAAAAAAAAAAAAAGAAGAAAAAAATTGTCCCTGAGCTAAAATTCTAATTAGATGCGTTCATTATTTGTTCAGATTTAAAAATTAAGGCATGTATCAATGCATATCCATATGCATTGGCATATAATGAGAACTTTACTATATGGAACATTAAGAGTCCTTCTGTTCTTTTCCAGGAAAGAACAAGGTTTGAAAATTTAGGCCCACAGTTAACAGGGAAACCCAATGAAGATGGAAAAATTGGCCCCGGCGTCATCGATCTTACAAGGCCAGAAGATGCAGAAGGTGAGTTGCAAGTTTGACCATGGGCTATTGAACACTGCACCAAAGGATGATGTGGCTGAAATGCTGCCAATGTCATAAGTACTGCCTGTGTTACATTCCAGGGTAACATTTGATCGATTTCTGTCTGAATTTGTGAGATTTTAGTAAATCCATCACAAAGTGTGGAGACATGAAGAGGACTATGTAGCCCTTTTGGCCCTTCTGCAACACAACTGTCTTTCTCCCAAGCAACTGCCAAATAAGTGTTTGCATTTTACACTCTTACTAAAATTTTAGGAGATATTGAGGAAATTATCTCAGGAAGGATAAATATTCACCTTTTTTTTCGTGTTTAGCAGTTTTGAAGAAGGTTAGAGTATTTTCAGAAACCTACCCATCATGCACCACCTATTCAAGATTTAGCAAGCAGAATTCCATTCATAGGCAGCTATCAAATTATAATGGAAAAATACTTCACATTTTCTGTATGAAAATGTCTTTTTCATTATATAAGCCTTCATTGCACTCATTTCAGTGAGAGTTTTATATATATATCTATATGTTTCAAGCCCCAGGTGGAAGTCAGTGTTCGTCAGGACTGAGCTGACTTTCTAGCAGGATTACCATGCATGCTCTGGAAGTAAATGTCACTGGTATCCTCTCTATCCTATGGCACATATACATATGTAGGAGCCCTACCTGTGAAAAGATTAATTATTCAGAAAGAATATTATGCAGGATTTTGCCCCCCTCAATTTACTTCTGTTTGAGATTTTAAACTGGGGAAATTCTAGTTATGGCTTAAGAAGGTTAAAATACCTCTGAATTTTTCCATTAACATCCAAACATCTGACAAATCTAAAGTCTGCTTTTTAACTTGGATCAAAAGAATAGGACCAGTAAGCTATAGAGTGCTATTATTTATGAGCTTCATTTATTCATCCTTAATACAATATTATTGGCCCCGGATGTATCATCTGTAAACAGAAAAAAAACCAAACAGAATATAGACAGAAAATAACTTTCAGATGGGTGTTTTGCAATGAAAAAAAAAAAAAAAGTAACCAGGAGATATAAGCTTTTGACCAATCAGTTATTTATAAAGAAGCAGTCATCCAGCAGCAATGTTTCATATTTCAATATGTTGAAGAATATTTTTTTTTTTATCAGTTGGGGTGAAAAGCTGCAAAGGGATAATTACAGATACACAGTGACTGGTTTAGATGACGTCAAGCCTCTGACCCCATTGTTGGTTTAGCTAATTTCCTTCAATTCATCTATTCTCTTCCTAGTGTCCTTAATTTAGTGTCTTGATACCCCTTGTGGCAGTGGCAGCCTCCCCTGTTACTGGATAGTGCAGAGAGAAGCTTTGCCATGTGTAACCCAAGCTACAGTGATGTGTGCCAGTTTAGGGGCAGTGTGCATGTCTTTCTAGAGCTACTGGAGGGGGCACTTTGAGGCATGTTGCCTTGCCACATTAGAAATCCAAGTTCATGAATGGATTCAGATTTCCAGAATTTGTTTAGCAGCCAAGAGGTATCTCTGGAAAAGATATGCTGGGTTCATAGTGCTGCTGATCTGGAAAAAAATATTTGCAGGAGTTCTAAATTGAGTTGCTTATTTGTCCTTCTCATTGCAGACAAGGTGAATTTGGATGTTAGCTGCATTGAAGAAAAATACATTCAAAATATAACCTGAGTTTTGCCCCTTATATTTGGCAAGCAAGCTAAGAGATGGCACTTCTACCTAATGTAATTTACAGTGGAAGTGCATTGCAGGCAGTGCTGCTGAAATATCAGCAGTTAAATTGTAGTCTCTGATATCCTGTACCACGCTACAGATTCTGTCCAGCTTCTAATTATTGTGAAACTATTACAGATCTTTCTAGGTTTGTCAAAGGTTTTTATACGTCTTCCTATTATTTTGTGCTTCCAAACTTCAGCCCTGGGTTACTATGAAACTTGAAAGCCTATTCTGTAGAATCATAGAATCATTTCATTTGGAAAAGACCCTTAGGATCATCAAGTCCCACCTAGCATTGCCAGATTCACATGAATCCATGTCCCAGAGTGCTACATCTTTTAAATACCTTTGAAAAGGATGGTGACTCAGCCTCTTCATTGGGCAGCATGTTCCAGTGCTTGACAACTCTTTTGATGAAGAAATGTTTCCTATATATCAAATCTAAACCTGCCCTGGCACGACTTGAGGCCATTTCCTCTTGTCCTATCACTTCTTCCTTGCAAAAAAATACTGACCCCACCTCTGCAGCCTTCTTTTGTGTTGTAGTGATAAGGTCCTCCAGAGCCTCCTTCCCTCCAGGCTAAACACCCTCAGCTCCATCAGCCTCTCCTCACCAGACCTGTGCTCCAGACCTTTCACCAGCTTTGTTTCTCTTCTTTCACCTCCTCTAAGAATGCCTTGCTGCATTTCATTGTGTTGCCAGAGTCACAATCTCAGCTGAATGTCAGAGGTTCCTAATAGGCACAGTCATGTTCTTCAAAGGCTTCATGTGTTTCACACCTTCCTTTCTGTATTGTCATTTTTACTTTAAATCTTTCTCTCCCCCCTCCCCTCCTTTTTTTAGATACTGTTTGAATGCAGGTCGCTGTAGAAATCTTTAGCTAATATTTCTGTGCTTTATCTGTGCTTTTACACCTATAAAACAAGGAATAAAGATTTCTGAAGTGACATATTGATGGCCAACTTTTGATACCCTGTGTTTTCTTGTCAAAAATATATCCAGATCTCTGAGGCCCAGGTGCAGTTGTGACAGAGTGAGTGGATGGATGTTAGATCTGCCAGGTGGTTTTACTCTCGTCACCAGAATTTTAGGACTTCAGAGTTATGAAATTCACTACATTTAGGGAAGATATTAACAATTTGCAGAAAGATATTAACAATTTGCAGAGTGTTCTTTTAAAAGGGTGGTAGGGGCAAGTGTAAGGATGGGGCAGTGGTGTAACATGTTTTTTCCTGAGCTAAGGATTCCAAATTTAGTCCCACTGCTGCCCATAAAGAGGGGGAAAATGCAGTTTGGGTTGTATTCTAATCCCCCCCAGTGGTCTAGAGCAAAGGGACTATGGAAGTGCAGTTCCACTCCCTGCCTACCTGTGCACCTACATTTCCATAGGAAACCAAGGTGTGCAGGGACATGGTGCATGTCTGTCCATCCCAGCAGGCATTTGAGACAGACCAGATCTGGGAAGTGCTCCTGATTCCCATAGTTTTGACACAACATTTAAGGTTCATGTAATTTGTTAGAAGACTATCAGACTTCTGCTTTGTGGAATGCCTTTGTAACAGTATCTAGCAATGATTTCTCTTTTCTATAACATATGGTGGTGATCTGAGTCTGACATGATCAGAGTCATGTTTTCCTGTAATTTTAGGAGTGCTTGTGGTACTGGCTTATTGACCAGAAGCTGAAGCTACAGGTGGTTTTTTTTTTGAGTCATGAATTATAACTATTGAAATTCTTTAAATTTAGAAATTAGACAAATATGGAATATTATAAAATGTGATTTTTTTAAGCTCATTGTCCCTGCCCAGTGTGTGAAAACCTTTTTAAGATTAATTAAAGTAAGATTTAATTAATGGTAGCTAGTTGTACTTTCAGAGATACAAAGTTGTCTTCAAAGTTTGTGTTGCTCATAACGAGCTAACAGTCATCTGAATGGAGGCCTGAAAATCATTAGCAAGAGTTTTATACTAAATATAACATAAATTAATATTTCTATTACTTCCTTAGCCACCAGCAGGACTGAGCTAACTATATTAAAAATCATGTTCAAACTGTATTTAAAATATTGCCACTTATTGTGACACCATTGATGAATAATCCACAGCTGTTAGACTTGTATCATTACCTGAAATCCCAGTTGCCATGCTAAAATACATGATACATTTATAGTTAATGAAATGCAAAAACATTATTTGAAAGCCTCATAATCATTTGGTGACTGGTATCCAAAATTATAAACAACAGTCAATTATAGAACTAAACAAGATCTTTTCCCCCCTGAAAATATTGAAACTTTAAAGGAAACATTCTTTCTGTAGGTGGCTTCATAATTTTGTGCATTTGAAGTTGTCAGTGCTGAAATATAGCAGACAGGGATGGGCACACCAAGACAGCTTTGAATGTAGCTGTAGCTTAACCCTATCTTGAACTAGACTGACATATATCAGCTGACCAGCGTGTGTAGAGTGTAGTCAGGAGTCATAGGTAAGCCCTGTTTAAATTTCAGGTCAGAAAACCTATGTAATACCAAAGTATTTAGCATACTAAATACTTAAGTATCTAGTTCTCAGTTAGTGAGAATATTGGATGATATGAGTAAGTTTTTGGTTTGAGGTCTAGAAAAAGATTTTCCTTTCACAGATGCTCACTTTTGGGAGATCTTTTGAATTGTAAAATGTTTTCAATGTTAATGGATCTTTCTGGTTTTGTGGCTGTAGTCAAATTCTTGGAAATTTGTAGGAAGTATGTTAAGATTTTGTTTTCTAGTAGATAGAAATCTGCAGGGTAGACCTAACCTTTCTGTTGACAATTACTGATTTTACCTTAGCTCAGGTTGCATTGTGGTTTCCTTCAGCAGTTGTGTTCAGGGATTCAAATTCCATCAAGACCTGATCTTCATTCATACCAAAGAATTGGATCTATTAAAATGTAATTTTCTTGATTGGATCCTAGGCTCAGAGCAAAAACATCTGAATGTTATTATTTTGCCCCTATCTCATTGTGAAATTTTGTAAAAGAGAAAAAACTTATCTGTGGCTTGTTTTCCTTATTGAAAATAAGTTGCATTGCAAAACGAAATTAATTTTTAGAAAGCAAAAAGAAATAGATGAAAATGCCTTATTAGTACTTTACATTTAGTTCCATGTTCATTCAAGTTGATATTTTACAATCAGGGGCTTGTGAATTAAATATTTGGCCTCACAGTTGTCCATTTGGGAAGACATACAAGAAGAGTTCTGGGTCCTGTTTTGATGTTTTCATTCACATTTTTCACACT